TTTACACAGAAATAGAAAAACAATCATAAAATTGATATAGAACCACAAAGAACCCACCCTGAATGACCAAAATAATCTTGAGAAAGAAGAAAAAAGCTGGAGGTACTATACTTCCTGATTTCAAAACTTATTATAAAGCTTATATTTAAAACAGTATGGTACTGTCAAAAAGCCATACAGATCAATGTAACAGAATAAAGAACCCAGAAATAAACCCACTCTTATTGATATTCAATAAGGATGCCGAGATAATACAACAAGGAAATGACAGTCTCTTCAACAAATAGTATTGGGAAAACTGGATATCCACATGCAAAAGAATAAAATTGGACTCTTTTCTTACACCATAAACATAAAACTCCACTCTCAATGGATTAAGGACTTAAATTTAAGACTGTAAAATGCCTAAAATGGCTTCATAACATAGGCCCTCGCAATGATTTCATGAATAAAGACATTAAAAGCACAGGCAACAAAACAAAAAATAAACAAGTGAGACTATGTCAAACTAAAAAGTTCTGCACAGCAAAGGAAATAATCAACAGAGTGAAAAGGAAACCTGTGAAATGGGAGAAAATATTTGCAACCATCTATCCAATAAGGAATTATTATCCAAAATATATAAGGAACTCATACAACTTGATAGCAAAACAAAACACAACACAACAATCTGATTAAAAAGTGGGTAGAGGAACTGAATAGAATGTCTCCAAAAACAAAAGACCAACAGGTACATGAAAAGATGTTCAACTTCATTCATCATCAGAGAAATGCAAATCAAAACAAGTGAGGTATCACCTTACACCTGTTAGAATAGTTGTTATTAAAAAAAAAAAAGATAAGTACTGGTAAAGATATGGAGAAATTAAAATGTTTGTACACTTTTTTAGCCACATAACTGATAGCCTTCTGACATTTTCTATACTTTGCCTATTGATTGCTTTATGTTTTGCTGTCTCCCACTAGAACTACAGAATAAACTTCATATGGGCAGGTAGTTTTTGCCTGTTTATTAGTGTCTCCCCAGCACTTGGAACAGTGCCCAGCACACAGTAGATGCTCCATAAATGTTTGACTGATGGGTCAATTGAAAATGAATAAAACTGCCATTCTGTTTTTTATTTCAGTCTTGCATGTTTGATTAGCCTGTGAAAAGCACCTTGTACTTCATCAGCTACACATGCACCTCCAAACCAAGCAAGAAGCAGACATGAACAACAGGGACCCCACCCCTAACCCCATCTTTGACATCTTTCTGTGACTTCCACAGAAACAATATACAATCTGTTCTTTTGGAGCAGGCACCACCTCCAGTCCTGAAGGAGCACTAAGAGGCTAAGCTGAAGCATGCAGAAAGGGAAACCAGGGGTCCTGTACAAATGGATGTGGACCAGCGCTTTGGGGAAAAGACATTTGGAAGTAGAGACCAATGTGAGAGAAACTGTGTGTGCATTACACAGGGGGTGGAGATAGATAGCTTTTAAGTTCTGAGAAAAGGACTCAGGAACCAGTCAGTGCGACATTCAACTGGGCTTGGCCCTTCTCACAGCCCCAGCGAAGTCACATAGCCCCTCATAGGATGGAATGAGAAGTCACTTCACTTCTGGGGTATTCTTTCCAAAACCTAATCCCAGTGTAACTAACCATAAGGAAACACCAAACAATCCCACACTGGCAATATTCTACAAGCTACCTGGCTGGGACTCCTGCAACTCTAAGGGTCATGAAAAACAAAGCAAGACTAAGAAGCTGTCACAGGCCAGAGAGGAGATTTGGTAATGCAATGCAGTGTGGTGTCTTGGATGGGATCCTGTGACAGAAAAAGGACATTAATGGGAAAACTGGTACATGACCTTACACAGTTGCTAAACTCATCAAAGCAAGGAGGCCCCAGGGATGACAAACTGAAGAGCAGAAGGGCCTCCTTTGTCTTGCAATTTATCTCTAAGACTGGATTGCGTGGGGTCTGTGGGAAGTCATGCTCACATACCTAGCCCTCCCTTTAGCTCCCTGTTGGACCCACTCTTCACTCTATCCAGCAATTTCCATAACTGTCCTCCTGCCCAGAGCCACAAGTATGCTCTCTGCTGTTCTCGCTTGGAAAGTCCAATTTTTTCAGCCCTTAGATGAAAATCAAATCACTGGCTCTCTGGCATTCTCTCAGCCCAATCCTTTTAGTAACTGCCGCATTACACATTGTGATGGCTGCAAGCAAAACTGAGAAGCACTTCAATGGATGTATCTCAGAACAGACCCGATGCCTACACAAAAACACTTTACAGCAAAAGTAGGGAAACAGAACGTAAACATATAAATGAATGTCCATACTCTGTCTTCCCAGTGCACACCACCATAGGGGACACCAGGATGTGTCTGCCTTGCTCTCCTACTGGCCTGAGCATTAGACCTGACAGCCTCATTTGGCCACTCCTTCTGGAACCCCAAGTGGCTCATCAATGCTGTCAAACCAACAGGTCAAGTCTGTGTGACACCCGCCAACACCCCATGTCTCCTGGTTAGTTCATCTGCATATCAGTGATCCCAAACCTGGGTCCAGGGACTGTGGGTAGCCTTCACATGCTCCTAAAAGCACTGAGCATAGTACAGAGACTTTGAGAAGACAAGTATGTTGAAGGGAGAGGAGCAGGTACCAGAAGCTATTGGGAAAAGCAAGGGCTTGCCTGTGGCCCAGACACATGGCTCCTCAACAGATCACAGAGGGAAGGACTGAGTCAGAGTTTAAGGAGAATCTACAACTTAATCAGATAAATCCTTTCAGGGCTGACATCCTCCTTTGTGACTTGCCACATTATCCTTTCTGGGAAGTTTAGTATCTGGGACACTCACATTAGCCCTCCTCCTAACGTCCTCATCTTGTAACGGGCATAGAATCTGCACGGTTGCTGGAGCTGATACTCTAGGCTCCCATGTCACTTTCCCAGGTCACCCGATGACTCAATCCTACCACCGGGATGATTTCCACACTCACTTACCAGCCCCCATGTGGACCACAACGGGCTCTGCCTCCAGATCAGTCCCTTCCATTGTCATAAGGAACTTTCTGAAATCCTGATGACCACTCCACTCCATTTAGACTCTCCATTGCTTTACATAAGGTCTGACTATTAATGTGGCCCCCAGGGCTCTTCACCACTATCTGGGTCTGGCCCCGCTCCAGCCTTCCCTTTTTCAGGCCCCAGGGAACCACTCCCCTTTTCCAGGGTGCCCGGCCCTCTTTCCTGCTCTGCTTCCTCAGCCAGGAAGGCTGTCTTGTTACTTAAAACCCAACTCGAAAGTTGCCCACTGGGGCCTTCCAGGGCACACCCAGGGGCAGGCGGTTGTGATTTCCTGTGTATATGACCCTCTGGAGCACTGTCCTATTTTACTGTAACATTTGGTTTTCTTACAGTAAACTTCTGAAAGGCAATGACCATGTGTGAGATGCCTGGTACATCACAGCTGCTCAGTGGATGTTGTTGCATAAATAAACGTGTGTGGGGGGAGAATGGGTGAAAAGGGGAAGGAATTAATAAGAAGTACAAGTTGCCAATTATAAAAATAGTTACAGGGATGTAAAATACAGCAGAGGGAATATAGTCAATAATATTGTAATAACTATGAATGGTGCCAGGTGGGTACTAGACTTATCAGAAGGACTGCTTCAAAAGTTATATAAATGTCTAATCACTATGTTGTACACCTGAAATTAATAATATTGTATGTCAACTGTAATTAATTTTTATACGAATAAAATAAAATTAAGTAAGTAAATGCATGTGATGGGTGAGTGATATGTACACTTAGCTGGAAATATCACTTCCACATGGTTCCCAATCGGGGACGCTGGTTCCAGCACCACCACAGCCTTGGCTCCAAGGGACGCATCTCCTATTGGGTGAAGCTGGGAAGCTGGTCATCAAAATGTACAGGATCATTTGGGCTGGGAGCTATCAGGGGCCCCACAGAGGCATCCAGTGATCAAAGTTATTATGATGTGCTGGCCCTACGGGGTGGAGGAATTTTGTGCTGTTTCCCAGAGTATTTGGAGAGCTAGTGCTAGGAACAGACTCCAAGTCAATGAAGATAATGGGATGTTGGGTGAAGTTAAACAGGTATCTTTACTATAGAACTTGGAGTCCCTAATTTCCTATAGATGTGAGTGTCCAAGGCCAGGCAGTCCATGGAGTTTCCCAAATACAGATAACTACAGAGCACAGGGCACTGTAGAACATGTTTTGGAAACACTGGTCCAAATAGGTGAATTTTTACTGACTAAAAGACAAAGAACTCAGAATGAAGTATTTGCCTCTTATTCATCATGGTCACTCTAAAACATGTCAATCACAGGATCAAACACTGTCTTTCTCAGAAAGATCAGAAGACACCTATATGGAATCAAAAACTTTTATTCAGAATAATCATTGGCAAAATGAAGGTAGTTAGTTGTCTCAAAAATGAAGGGCCACAGAGTACTCAGAAAGGGATTAGAAATAATTACAAAAATTTTTGCTACAGATTAAAATGACTTGAAACTACAATCATTGGCTATAAAATGTAGGATGCATAATCACACTTAAAACTAAAAAGTGAAAATCTTGAGATGACTGGCTTGCCCGGGTGGCAGGAAATCGACAGCCCTCAGAACCCAAGTGCTGCTTTGACGCCCACATCGGAAATGACTAGATTACTGCTAACAGAGACCAAGCCCAGGGCTTGCATGCTAAGTACGGTACCTCTGTAGCTGCTACTGTTTCAAACAATATGATCAAGTCTTTATAATTCCACCAACTAGGACTTTCAGTGAGGGGAGTGACGGCATTATAAAAAACTTCATGGGCCCTGGCCAGTGTGGCTCTGTTATCTGGGCATCATATCATGCACCGAAAGGTTGCTGGTTCAATTCCCAGTCAGGGAACATGTCTGAGTTGTGAGCTTGATCCCCGGTAGGGGATGTGCAAGAGGCAGCTGATTGATGTTTTGCTCTCACATGGATGTTTCTCTTTCTATATCCCTCTACCTTCCTCTCTTTCTAAAAATCAATTTTAAAATCTTAAAAAAACACACAAAGAAAAACCTTCACTGGGAGGGCATCTGACTTTTCAGTTTGGCAAGTCTCATGAGGCATTGGTCCCTCCACTGCCTTCTGGCAGCTAAGTGCTCAGGATCATCTGGGACTTTCACACACATGGCCTGGGAACAGGGAAAGAAGAGAAAAGACAACAAGGAAAAAAAAAAGAAAAAAATAAATGAATGGGACTACATCAAACTAAAACGTTTTTGCACAACAAAAGAAACCATCAATAAAACAAAAAGGCAACCTACTGAATGAAAGAATATATTCACCAGTGATACATCTAATAAGAGGTTATTATCCAAAATATATAAAGAACTCATACAACTTAACTCCAAAAAACAATCAAATCAAAAAATGGACAGAGGACCTGAATAGACATTTCTCCAGAGAAGACATACAGATGACCAATAGACATATGAAAAGCTGTTCAACATCACTGTTCAACATCAGTGAAATGCAAATTAAAACCACACCTGTCAGAATGGTTATCAATAAATCAACAAACATGTGTTGGCAAGGACTTGGAGAAAAAGGAACTCTTGTGCACTATTGGTGGGACTGCAAATTGGTGCAGTCACTATGGAAATCAGTACAGAGGTTCCTCAAAAAATTAAAAAGGGAACTACCATATGACCCAGCAATTCCACTTCTGGGTATTTATCTGGAGAAATCAAAACACTAATTCAAAAAAACATTCTTATGTTCATTGAAGTATTATTAAAATAGTCAAGTATGGAAGCAACCTAAGTGCCCATCAATGACAAATGGATAAAGAAGAGATATATATGATAGAATACTACTTGACCATAAAAAAGAATGAAATCTTACCATTTGAGACAATGTGGATGGATCTAGAGCAGGGGTGGGCAACCCCTGGCACGCATGCCA